CCGGGCCAATTTCAACCAAACTTGCCACAAAGCATCCTTGGGTAAAGGGGATTCAGGTTTGTTCAAATGAAGGGCCACACCCTCTTTCAAGGGGAGATAATTAAGAATTAGTGAAAAATTAATAGCATCTTTTAAAAATCTTCTTCTCAAGAACCACAGGGCCAGGAAAGATGAAACTCATGTGGAAACATCCTCAGGTAGTGTAGATTCAATTTTGTTCAAATCATGACCCCCTGGGGTAGGGCAGGGCCACAATGGAAGATCAAAGTTTTACATAGAAAAATATAGGAAAAATCTTTAAAAATCTTCATCTCAAGAACAGCAAAGCCATGATGAGTTATATTCATATGGAAGCATCCTCAGGTAGTGTAAATTCAAGTTTGCTCAAATCATGACCCCCGGGGGTAGGGCGGGGCCACAATGGAAGATCAAAGTTTTACATAGAAATATATAGGAAAAATCTTTAAAAATCTTCTTCTCAAGAACAACAAAGCCATGATGAGTTATATTTTTAATGGAAGCATCCTCAGGTAGTGTAGATTCAAGTTTGTTCAAATCATGACCCCCGGGAGTAGGGCAGGGCCACAATGGAAGATCAAAGTTTTACGTAGAAATATATAGGAAAAATCTTTAAAAATATTCTTCTTAAGAACAGCAAAGCACTGATTGGTCATATTTATTTGGAAGCATCGTCAGGTAGTGTAGATTCAAGTTTAGTCAAATCATGACCCCTGGGGGTAGGGTGGGGAAACAATGGGGGATCAAGTTTTACATAGAAATATATAGGAAAAATCTTCTTCTCAGGAACAGCAAAGCCCTGATTGGTCATATGTATGTGGAAGCATCCTCAGGTAGTGTAGATTCTATTTTGTTCAAATCATGACCCCCGGGGGTAGGGTGGGGCCACAATGGAGGATCAAAGACTTAAATAGAAATATAGGAAAATATCTTCTTCTTAAGAACTGCAAAGCCATGATTAGTCATTTTGATATGGAAGCATCTTCAGGTAGGGTAGATTCAAGTTTGTTCAAATGATGACCCCCGGGGGTAGGGTGGGACCCAATGGGGGATCGAAAGTTTTACATAAGAACATATAGAAAAAAATTTCTTCTCAAGAACAGAAAAGCTATGTTTAGTCAGATTCATATGGAAGCATCCTCAGGTAGTGTAGATTTAAGTTTGTTCAAATCATGATGCCTGGGATAGGGAAGAGCCACAATGGGGGATCAAATTTTTACAAAGGGAAATTTATAGGAATTTTTTTTAAAAAATCTCAAGTACAACAAAGCCATTTGTTAAATTGACATGGAAGCATCATCAGGTAGTTAAAAATTCACCCCCCCCCCCTCCCCCAGTAATCTTTTCAATACTGAACTGATTTGTGCTTTTGCCTAGCCAGTGTGCTCAGGTGAGCAATGTGGCCCATGGGCCTCTTGTTTTTTTTTTTTTTTTTTTGACTTTAGGGTGTTTCATCAAATGATGAGATGAAAAATTAATAAATAAAATGCTCTATGGATCAATATGAATAATTTCTTGGTTATTTGGATTAAAAATCTACTAGGTCAGAGCTTGATAAAACATACTTGTGCATACCTTGAGAACTCTAAAATCAGTGTAAATTTTCTTTAAAAATTTTGATATTTAACAATCATTTGTCTTTTAAGAATGTTCCTCCTTTGATATACTTAATTTACTTGAATTTCATTTTGATCTCTATCTTTTGTTATAAAAGTGTCATCAGTTCAGAAAAATTCAAGTAGACAGCAGTCATTCTTCCTTAATTTTACATTTGAATTTCATAACCTTGAACATTGATATCTTGAAACCATGGATATGTTTAAGTGAGTTGCAAGTCCCAACCACTTTTTAAGGTCAAATGAGTCACTAAGATTACCTATTACTATCTGTTCTCCTTTGTCGTTGTCCATCATCCATTGTCCGTTGAACATAAACTTTTGAACATTTTCAGAGCTTCTTCTCAGTAACTGCTCAACCAATTTTGGCAAATAGCTAACATATATGGGTAGGGGAACTAAATAATTGAATTTCATGATCCCTGCTCACCCTCCCCCCCCCCCTCCCAGGGGCCAGAGGGGTCACACTAAAACCATCAAAATTAATGAAATCTTTAAAATCTTCTTTAATCCTGGACATCAAGAAATCAAACTGTTGTCATGATTGTAATGAGCATTTAGCCCTCTACCAAAATAATGAAAATCATGGCCCCTTAGCCAAGGGTTCTTGTGTTAGGTTAAGACCAAGAGAGGTCAATGGCATGGGGATCATGCCAGGTTTATCATGTGAATGCTGTGTTTTATGCTGATCAAATCACAATTGTTTTGTTGCGTTTGGTGATATTGATAGAGTGTACGTAGCACTGGCAAGTTTCTTAGTTGTTGCTGTTTACCAGACTAACTATTTTCTTGATCCCTGATCATCCTATTTCTCTGACTTTTTAGCTCACCTGAGCCAAAGGCTCAAGTGAGCTTTTCTGATCAAAATTTGTCTGTTGTCTGTCGTGGTTGTTGTCGTTGTTGTTGTTGTAAACTTTTCACATTTTCATCTTCTTCTCAAGAACCACTGGGCCAATTTCAACCAAACTTGCCACAAAGTATCCTTGGGTAAAGGGGATTCAAATTTGTTCAAATGAAGGGCCACGCCTTCTTCCAAGGGGAGATAATTAAGAATTTGTGAAAAATTAATGGCATCATTAAAAAATTTTTTTCTCAAGAACCACTGTGCTTGAAAATATGAAACTTATGTGGAAGCATCCTCAGGTAGTGTAGATTCAAGTTTGTTCAAATCATGACCCCTGGGGGTCGGGTGGGGCCACAATGGGCGATCAAAGTTTTACATAGGAATATATAGGAAAAATCTTTAAAAATCTTCTTCTCAAGAACAGCAAAGCCATGATTGGTCATATTTACATGGAAGCATCCTCAGATAGTGTACATTTAAATTTGTTCAACTCATGACCCCTGGGGGTCGGATGGGGCCACAATGGGCGATCAAAGTTTTACATATGAATGTATAGGAAAAATTTTTAAAAATCTTCTTCTCAAGAACAGCAAAGCCATGATTGGTCATATTTATGTGGTAGCATCCTCAGATAGTGTAGATTCAAGTTTGTTCAAATCATGACCCCCGGGGGTCGGGTGGGGCCACAATGGAAGATCAAAGTTTTACATAGGAATATATAGGAAAAATCTTTAAAAATCTTCTTCTCAAGAACAGCAAAGCCATGATTGGTCATATTTGCAAGGAAGCATCCTCAGATAGTGTAGATTCAAATTTGTTCAAATCATGACCCCCGGGGATAGGGTGGGGCCACAATGGGTGATCAAAGTTTTACATAGGAACACGTAGTAAAAATCTTTAAAAAAAAAAACTATTTCTTAAGAACAGCAAAGCCATGATATGCATATTCATATTCATATGGAAGCATTCTTAGATAGTGTACATTCAAGTTTGTTCAAACATGACCCCTGGGGGTCGGGTGAGGCCACAATGGGTGATCAAAGTTTTACATAGGAATACATAGGTTAAATCTTTAAAAATCTTCTACTCAAGAACAGCAAAGCCATGATTGGTCATATTTAAATGGAAGCATCCTCAGATAATGTAGATTCAAATTTGTTCAATTCATGACCCCCCCCCCCCCCCCCCCCCACTCCCCCACTTTTATATTTAAACTTTTCAACCTTTCAAGACTGAACTGATTTCGCCTTTATTCTAGCCATAGTGCTCAGGTGAGCGATGTGGCCCCTGGGCCTCTTGTTTGTGTGTGTGTTATTATATAATTGATCCTTTAGAGGGTGTATTACACTCAGGTGACCATTGAGGCCCTTGGGCCTCTTGTCTATATTTTATTTCCTTGAAAGACTTGAATTTTTTTCACTTAACATATGGATCTTGTGCTGATAAATTATTAATACATGTGTCATGTAAGTCTGATTTTATTTTTGAAATGTTTGATCATTATTATGATTATTTATATGGAAATATTTATTAATAACTCAGTTTCCATATTAATTGTTATAAATTAAATTAATACATGAAAAAGGACATTCAAAATCTTGATTCTTAAAATTTATGTCATGAACTTCTCAGAGATACCTGAAATAAATGTTCTCATAAATGTCTTAATTAGCACATATACTTGTGAATTGTTTGATAGTTAAATTGTTGGAGGGGGGATGTCATTCAGGTTTTCTTTTTGTTCTGCACAAAACTTTTATACAAAGCATTTTATTGAACTGAAAATATTCAAATTTGCAGATAAAAGGAAACCTTTGTTAGTTTTTTCTCCATAAGCTTTTGACCTTTCATGCTCTGGTCAAGAATGGCAATAATAGATATTGCCCTGGTTGTATAGCAGACCATTAAAGGACACCAATGTCATCTTAGAAATCTAGCATTTCTTTTCCTATAGCAATTCCAAGGGATAGCAATGACCATCAAAATTGATCTTACAGAATTTATAGTGTCGACTTAAGAATTGAAATATTCATGGAGAGTCGGCACTCTAGTATTTTGATACATTCATAAAAGCAATTTTTCCGTGAACTATAGCAATTCCCATTAATGGGCAGAAATCAGAAAATGACTAGATATTGTAGATTTATTCATGATGTGACAACAGAAATTAATCGCTTATTTCTGAAGATGAGCAATAAGCAGTCGAGAGAGCAATCTTCAGTCATAACCTATTCAATCTCATAATTCTATCCAATGCAAATTACTGACAATGGCTTAACATTGGAAATATGGAGATTTTATTTCTGTGACTTATTTGTCTTCATTGCGTTATCGGCTGAAATCTCATTTACAGTTGCAATAAAGAGAAAATTGAAAAATAATAAAATTTGGAGTTTAATGCATGGTCTTTATTGTTTTGTATTTCTAGACCTAATGACAAAAATATATGTGAAAGTAATTTTCTTTTTGACCTTCATATGACCCATACACAGATTATATTTCTGTTTTATGTCTTTTTTCAGATAACAATGAAATATATTCTTGGGGAAATGGAAATAGTGGACAGTATGTATATATATATTTTTATATTTTTCCTTTTTCACTCATGAAATATTCATTGATATATATATATATATATATATATATATATATATATATATATATATATATATATACAGGTAAATTATCTCGACATCGACAGGACCATCGGAAAATGTCGAGATATCCGAGGTCTCGAGATATCAGAGTTGAGACTTGACGTCCAAGATTTCATTGCATAGCAAAACAGACAAGCTTATTATTTGTACATGACTTTAATATAGACTGTAGCTCAACATATTTCAGAATTCCCTGCATTTTTATTAAAAATCTAAGAAGTTATTTTAAAATCTTGTTTATAAAACGTGTTCTTAATCTTTCTAAATTCACTAAGTTTCAGCACAAAGTTACAGCATTGAGCTGCATTCGCGTGTAACTTGCCTTTTCGTCAGAACAGGATACGAAATGCGCTCTATAAACTTTGAACCGTATAAAGTCGACATCCGATATACGGTAAAAAAAATTAAATACGGATTATTTTTTTCTTATTTCATTCAGGAAGAATGTACATTAAAATTAATTTTTTAAAGAGATTTGTGTATCTAAACTAACGTAGTGATGTTACAGATGCACGAATTACGGCTGATTCGCTCAATCGTGTCGTTAATTGGATTGTTTCCCGTTGAATACATTTTAACTACAAAATATCATTAAAACATTTTTTTTCAATTCCTTAATTTGAATTTTTCAGTGTGTTTGTTATTCATTGTAATTTAGTTATCTTTTTCAAATTTAAAAGTTATGTTACATTTCGATATAAATAACATTCTGTACATTTACGCAGAATCGTGGAGATTTAGCAATGATATTACCCCAGCTCAATTAACTTCTCAAAGACGCCGAAGGGGCTTGGGATTCACCTACAAACACAGTCTATAAAATTAATTAAGCAGCGTGCAGTCAAAACATGGGTGTGAAAGGTGTGAAACTTTGACGACATCCATGATATGAGAAAAGAGGAAGAGCCGTTATTTGTTAAAATCAGCCCTGTTATTTAGTTTAACCAGGGTTTTTTCTCAAGATGTCAACATTTTAAACTGTTTAAAACAGTTTAAATTTTCCCCAATACCTTTATAGTTTTTTTGTGAGGATCTCCGCCCCTTAAATATGGCAAGATTATCTGCAAAGTTCTGCTAGATGGCATGACATCATGATCGATCGATATATAATCTTTACATAAACAGTTCCATAGATAACTATCAATATTACTTTGTTTAAATTTTCTTCTTTTTTAATGTGGAACATTTATAAATAATTATTCAAAAAACTTAATTTTCTTTTTGCACATTAACCTAAATAACACTATCTGATTATGATGTATACTTTCTGTACTGTATTATCATGACTTTAGTATTTTTATATGCTGAAATGTAAATGGAATGAAAAAAATACATTTAAATTTTTGGAAGAAAAATCTGTTGAAAATTTATTTCTTTGAAATGATTATTTCCTTCTCTCCATATTATCATGAATTTCTGCAATAAAATACCTTAATTTACTTACTGTGTAATAACAACCAAATTCTTTATACATATGCAACATTTACGCAATAGAATATTAGAATTTTAAGAACATAATCAAATTGAAATTTCACATGGCCTTGTCAAACTACTGTAAATTTCTCATAGTATGTCTGTATCAAATTGTGAAAATGTTAATTAGTGATTTATGAAATTTTACTTAGATATAAAAAATACAACTCTGATCTTCAAATTAAAAAATTGCAACATTTAAGAATTTGCAATTCATCCTCTCTTAGCTGATTTATGCAATTAAAATTTCTTTGCAAAGAAAACCTTCAATAAGGAGTCTACAGTTACTGTATCAATTATTTCTCTTGAACATCGCTTTTGGAATCATCCACAATCTCTGTGAGGCATCAAAGATATACCGGGTAGTTTGTCCAATTCTTTATTTCTGTTAGAGGAACGTCTGTCGCATGAATGCCAAAAAGCAAACCACATATATGTGATCAAATTCTCACTTCCTGCTGCTTTTGCACTTAAGTACCAGCTAGGCCTCCATTAGTTCATCATTAAAACGAATCCACATAAGGACCACATTTGGTATTGTTTGGGAGAAACATGATATATGGCTTTGAATCACATTTTGTCTAGGAATCTCACATAGAAATATTTAGGGAAAATAAATATAAAAATTCTGCTCAAGAATTAGGATTAATATGCAAGCATCCTTAGGTAGTGCATATATTATTATTTAAGTTTGTTTGAATCATGGATCCCAGGGGTAGGATGAGGCCACAATTAGGAATCAATAGTTTAAAAAAGCAGTTGGTTAAATTTTTTTTATTTTCACAAAATCTATTTTAGAAGTAGGAAGTTATTGCATTCATATGGAAACATTGCAAAGTTGTGTGGATTTCAATTTTCCCCCCAAGTAATGGGGTTAAGAATGTCTAATGGTTTATAGCTCACCTGAGCTAAAAGCTCAAGCCAGCTTTTCTGATCACTTTTTGTCTGTCTTCCGTCTGTAAACTTTTCACATTTTCGACTTTTTCTCCAGAAGCACTGGGCCAATTTCGACCGAACTTGCCACAAAGGATCCTTGAGTAAAGGGGATTTAAGTTTGTTCACAGGAAGTGCAATGCCCTCTTTCAAGGGGAGATAATTAAGAATTCATGAAAATTTGGTGGCATCTTTTACAAATCTTCGCCGAAATATGACTGAAATATTGCCGACTCGGCGTTAAACAATAACAATCAATCAATCAATCTTCTCAAGAATCACTAGGCAAGAAAAGATGAAGCTTGTGTGAAAGCTTCATTACATACTCTAGATTAAAATTTGTTCATATCATAACCCCCGGGGAAGGCCAGGCCACAAGAGGGGGAGGGGTGTGTGTGAAGTTTTACATAGGAATATATAGGAAATGTCTTTAAAAATCTTCTTTTCGAGAACATCAGAACTATGATTAGTCATATAATTATAGAAGTATCCTCAGCAAATTCAAATTTGTTCCAATTATGACCCTGGGGGTAGGGCAGGGCCACAACAGGGGGTCAAAGTTTACCATAGGAATATATTGGAAATATCTTTAAAAATCTTCTTCTCAAGAACAGCTAAGGCATTATTAGTCATATTAATATAGAAGTATCTTCAATATCTTAGTGTAGATTTAAGTTTGCACGGATCATGATCCCTGGGAGTTGGGTGCAGACACAACAGGAGGCCAAAGTTTTACATAGGAATATAAAGGAAATATCTTTTAAAAAAATTCTTCACAAAAAACAGCTAAGCCAATATTAGTCATATTAATACAGAAGTATCCTCAGGTAGTGTAGATTCAAGTTTGTTCAAATCATGACCCCCGGGATAGGGTGTGGCCACAGTGGGTCCAAGTTTTTTATAGGAATGTTGAGGATCATTTGTATAGAACACAGCATTGAAAACTTCAAATAGTGGAATGACCTGACAACCCTTGGAATGGACTAGCCAAAGGGTATATAATGCAAATTTAAGCTTTGGAAAAGTAAGCATTCAGAAGCTAGCTGAAGAAGTTGGTCATTGAATCGGTAATACAAAAGTTCAGGGTAAGAGCAAAATAAAAGCATAAAAGTTAAAAGCACCAGTGGCAAGTATCCTAGGGAATTTATGTTAAGTTCTGGGTGTAGTAAATCTAAAGAAGATTGAGACACCCAGTTCTTATCAATGGGAACGTAGGGGAGAAACATGTTACAAGTAGTACCTTACCCAGTTTCTGTCTCTAGATAAGAGAAAAATTTTAGAACTGTGTGATTTACCCTTAGACAGAGCAGTCTTAATAATCATTCCAATCATTAACTCAGACAGGGTACAAGTAAAATATATCCCTTGTAAGAACCTGATCATGCACGTTAAATAGGAAATATCTTTAAAAATCTTCTTTTCAAGAACAATTAAGCCTTCCTAAGGTAGTAGATTCTAAATTGTTCAAGTCATGGCCCCCCAGGGATAGAGTTGGGTCACAATAGGGGATATAATTTTACATTGAAAACCATAGGAATAGTTCTTTAAAAAATCTTTCTCAAAATCCACTGTGCCAGAAAAGCTGAAACTCATGTGGAAGCTTCTTATGGTAGTGTAGATTCTCATTTGTTAAGATAATGTTCCCTGGGGGTAGGATAGAGCCACAATAGGGGATTGAAGTTTTACATTGAAATATATTGGAAAAAATTCCTCTTCAAGAATCAAAGGACCAGAAAAAATGAAATTTGGGTGAAAGCTTCCTGAGATGGTGTAGATTATAAATTGTTCAGATCATGGTCCCTGGGGGGTAGGATGGGGCCACAATAAGGAATCAAGGTTTTACATTGAAATGTATAGAGAAAATCTTCTCAAGAACCACTAAACCAGAAAAGATGAAACTAAGGTGAAAGCTTCCTGAGGTAGTGTAGATTTTAAATTGTTCAGATCATGGTTCCCATTAGGGTTGGGCCAAAATAGGGATTGTATAGGGAAAAAAATTTAAAACTTTTCTTCTCAAGAACAGCAAAGTCAAGATGAATCAAATTAATGTGGAAGCATCCTCCAATAGCGTAGATTCATTTTTGTTCGAATCACTGCCCCTGTATATAGAGAAGGGTCACAAAAAGCAATCAAAATTTTACATAGGAATACAATCATATATATTAGTAAAAAATCTGATGCAGAACAGCAGTGCCAAAGTGACTTAGGTGAGCATTGTGGCCCATAGGTCTTGTTTTATACTTCTATGGGTCCTTTATAGTGTTGTATTATACTCAGGTGACTGTTAAAGCCTTTGGCCCTCTTGTTTACATTTGAGTTTACCTGTCTTCTTTACTAATGAACTTATAAGAGACAAGTTGCATGAATATGATAATGATTATAGAGTCCTCACCAAACTGTAAAATTTTGTCACATGAGGCTTGTAATTCCAGTTCGAGGATAGACTAAAATGGTCACAGCCTGAGAAACGCATAATGCTAAGATTACCATCAAGGCAGTTAG